CTCTGGGAGGGCGAAAACGGCCTGAAACGGGCCCCAAATCAGCTGGGAAGCACACGCATACGCAGTGCAGGTTAAGTTTGGCTGGGGCTGACGTGTCCACACAAATGGCTCTGCGTGGCGCCTCTGGCGTGCATGCCCTAAGTTTGCCATCACGGTGCTAGGTCTTTAGCTGGCTTGGTTGAACAAGATTGTGCACGCACGAAGTGAACTATGCCCGACGAATCCCTCTTGGAGAGCAATTCCTGTACGAGTCCAAGAAAATAATTGTGTTTTGGCAAGAAGTTAACACGTTGCATTTTTAGCACTTCAAGCCCGACTCCCTCAGTTCTGGTGGCAAACCTATGACACGTTGCCTTCGGTTAACGCGCGGTGAGGAATCTGAGGCCTCCGAAAATCATTCCAGCATTCTCGCACAATTTTCAGAGGCTCCAGAGTTTCCATCACACGATTTCTAGAGAGTCTAGACTAGAGGAGAGGCCGCACATTCGCAGAGGCCTCTTTTCTGCATGTGTGTTTGTGTGTGTTTCTATACATGACAAAGAGAACAAGAGAGAGAGAGAGAAAAGAGAAAAAGAAAGAAAAAGAAACCAAAAGAGGGAGAAAAGAGAGAAAGAGAGAGAGAAAAAAGAGAGGCGGAAAAAGGGACCCAATAAAATCAAAGTAGCCATTTTCTAAATTTTCGATCTGCCAAGCCTCAAAAGTTCTCCATCTCTGTTCTAACTCAACAAATTCCTGTTCCTGGTGCACAAAACTTAACCAACACCCAGAAACTTATATCGTAACTCTGTATCCCCGCTTTACTTTCAAACACACACAAACCCTGAAAAAGAAGTTCCAAACGTGCTTTTCTTTTGCCCCCAAAAGGCAACTGGATTTTTGGGGTTGTTTTTTTTTTTTAAAGTTCAGTTGCCTTTGGAAGGTGGGGAAAAAAAACCCAAACACCTTTAGGACAACTGTGACCTGGAGACAGGGGCGTGAATTCAGCCAGTTCAGCTGAACCGGAAATTAAATTTACATCCGGTTCGCCGAACTGGTAGTTGAACCAACCAGCTGGCCCCGCCCCCCCTGCCCCTCCCCCTTCCAGGAGCCTCCGCGCAGCCCGTTTCGGATGCAGGTAAATGCACCTGTTTCCGTTTTCGCCCTCCCGGAGGCCCGAGGGAAGCCTCCGGACTCTGGGGAAGGCCAAAAAAAAATGGCCAAACCGGAAGTCCTGGTAGGCCACGCCCACCCAGCAACCAGGCAGAGAACCGGTTGTCGGGTGGGGGGTTTGAATCCCACCCCTGCCTGGAGATGATGGGAGAATAATCTCCACGGAGACCTAAAAAAAGGAATAAACCCTCCAAATCACAGAATTCCACACGGAAAGGACTTGAGGGTGCTTTGAACCCCCCACCCCCGCGCCCCCCACCCCAAACGTTGCCCCGTACTTCTGCATGGGGCTCAGCTCCACCCGAACGATCAGCTCCGTCTTGGCCGGCATGTTCTTGAAGACGTCGGCCTTGAGGCGACGTAACATATGAGGACCGAGGAGGTCGTGGAGTTTCTTAATTTGATCCTCCTTGGAGATGTCTGCAAATTCCTCCAGGAATCCTTCCAGGTTACTATGGGAGAGAGAGAGAGAGAGAGAGAGAGAGAGAGAGAGAGAGAA